TTTTAATGCACAGTAGAATAGGCTACTGTGCATTAAAGTGCATGTGTAGATATGCTCTGTAAGTAGCTCCCTAGTCAATCTCCTATCAGCTTGTGAATGGAGACTAGTTTGATTCAGCCCAGTTCCACTTCAGCTTTCTCAAAAGGTGCACACTGGGGAGAAGACCAAACAAATAAAAGATGGTTGGTGCACTAAGCTCTTCCTGAGCAGGACACTGACATAGAATTTTATTCACTTCAAAATAATCATTTAGTTTGTGGAATAGATAAAGGAAAGTAGGAGAAGCCCGTTCTCCTGCAACCCCCAAACAACATTTGACTTATAGGAACTTTAAGATAAAAACAGAAACGTGCAGGGTAAATGGCAAGGATGTTTTCGAGCTCATATGTATGTCAATAAAGACAAACTGAAAAAAGGCATCAAAAGGCTGAGAGGTTTGTTCAGATAACCCTGGCTGGTGGCTGAAAGTCATGTATGCTTCTTGTGCCCACAGATCTGGGGACTGGTCATCTGGTAAGGATGACTGTTCTTGAAGCTTTTTGGTGTTCCTGGGACCAGGCTGAATCAAGGGGTACAGACAGAAGTGCAGCTCCAAGCTGTAACTCAAAATGATTTTTGCAAAGCGTTCTGAGTTACAACATTACCCCAGACTAAACAGAAGTTTCATAGTTTCATAGTTTCTAGGGTCGGAAGGGACCTGAGCAGATCATCTAGTCCGACCCCCTGGCAAGTTCATTGTTGGTACCAGGGGAGAGGGGAATCTAGCTGGGGCTGGGAGCCTGCAGCCAGGTTCCCATAGCAATGGCCAGGCCCTCTGCCAGCACCAGCTGTTTTCAGAATAGTGGGGGGAAAGGCAGTGGAGGGAGCTAAGTCTGCGGACTCCCCAGCTGGGGCTGAAGGGTAGAGTGGGTGTATTGGAGCCCCCCGACCCACCCTCCAGGGGGCAATGAAAAACCCACAAACTCCCTTTACTCCCTTCCCCCCTCCCATTCTGAAAACAGTGACATGCTGGGAGCTGCCCAGACACAAGTTACAAAAGATGCTACATTTTAAAATGTCTTTATCTATAACTCATGCAACGAGGGGTCAGATTTTAACTCAATCTGCCATTTTTAAGCTGTCCGTAACCGTGCACTTGTGTTTGGTTACAGCTATAAACTGTTTTCTGTGGCCAGATCGGGCAAAAATTGTCACTCCTCTCTGTACCCCCGGTGTCCACAGGCAGCTACTCACTTGACCTAACAGTAAATCCACTTTTTTCAAACCAGAGCTGATCCCAGCCACCCGGCCATGCATCCTGCCTGCATGGGTCCCATCCTGGCAGTGGGTGTGGGGCAGATGACCCGGGGTGCCCGGGCAATAGGGCTGGGTCCGGCAGCGGCAGCCAGAAGAAGCTGCTGCCACTGCTGCTGGGAAATGGTGTCTGGCCAAAGTGGCCATGGCCGGATCTGGCCTGCAGGCCATATTTTGCCCACCCGTCTAACCACTGAAGGGGAGGGCAAACAGAAATTGCTAGGCAGGCCAATGGGAGCTGTACTGATGTGTAACACTTATCATTGGTTTCACTGGTTGGGTGCGCTGGCAGTCTCCTGAAAAACATGTGGGTGAAATGTTAGAATCAGAGCATTCCTGCCTCATGTAGTGCCTGTAGTGAATGAGGATCCTATTATAGCAGCTGTTATTTTCCTAACATATCTCTGTGCTCTTTAAATGCTTTCACTACAAACACACACACTGCTAGTTACCTGAAGTTCATATGTGCTGAGAAACATTTGCTAATCTGGTACTGAGATGGCTGATGTTTTAACACTGGATACAAACTACAGGTTTCCCTCACTTTATGCTGCACATGCGTTCCTGGAAAACGGCATATAACTCGAATCTTCATAAAAGAAACCCACTTTACAATGTAACAAATAGGGACATGTTCCAAGACCTTGACTGTACTGACCCCCAGACCCATTTCTATCACTTTTACAAGACAATTTTGGTACTCACCAACAGCAGACAGTACACACAAGCATAGGGCACTATCATAATGGGGATGGCAACTACAGAAACACATGTCGCAGACAAAGAGCGAGGAGCACAAATCCACACGAGAGACTATATTTTGGTGCGCGTCACTCCCACAATGCACCGCACAAAGCAGCTGACTGCGGGCTTCCACCACATCAAGTGCGTAAGAGTGAATTTACCTCGCATATAACAAATTTTTGGTAAAAAAATGGTTACTGCATAAGAGTGAATTCACACATACAGAACCCGCATAAAGTGAGGGAAACCTGTATTATGATGCTAGCATGCAGCAGCCCCTCCTGTTCCAGGCCTACGTGCTTCAGGGAGCAAGGGAGACAGGGATAACAGATTTAATTTCAGACCTTCACTTTCTAGGCACCCCAAGGGACATACATATTTCCTATATAAAGTTCAGCCTGTTTGCAATTAAACCTCTCTCCTTTGCTTATTTCCGGATAGATCAAAAATAGCAAATTCAACTTACTCTTGGACTCCTTGAGATAAACAAAGCCACCGCTTCCAGGGATATAAAAATACTGATCAAGTTTATGGATCTTGGAATGCTGAATTTTCTTTGTGAACTTTTTGTGCTGAACTAAGTTAAGATATAAACAGATAACAAGCAGCTGGGGCTCCCTTTTAGGAATGGCAGAAATTGCAAAGATTCTCTTAGTTTCACTTTTAAATTAAGCCAGTTTTGACAGAAAGTGCCAGATTATTGTCCTGGAGACTGCAATCCTCTCTTTATATGGAAAACAGGTATGGGCCAGGGCAACTGCAGGGCAAACCTCTCCCTCAAACCACACCAACCATGAATCAATTCTAAGGCTATGTCCACATTCATATTTAGGGCTGACTCTGGGATAGCCCTAAAGCAGCCCAAGTCCTAGAATCCACCGCTCCCTAGCTGCATCCTACACCTGGTAGCCCACACCAAAGCCACTCATATTTATGCTCCTTACTTGTGAAGCAGAGCCCTTCTGAAAATTAGTCTTGTCTCTCTTTCCACAGTTAGCTCTGCTTAAAGGCAGCACAGAGAGGAAGGTGAGGGGCAGAAGGCCTGGAATTGCAAGCTTGTGACTGGAACGGATCTGCACACCTGTGTAAATTCTGGACATACTGCATGCAGGGGTGGTCTGAGAGATGAGTGGGAGAGATGTCAACCTCGTACTCCAACATCTCCAGAGCTTCTAAGATTGAGCTGGATGTCCATCAGAGGTTTACAGTGCCCAAGTCTGGTGGGCTTGTGGGTTACCCTAAGGGTAACTTTGGGCATTTGACCCAAACTATCAGTTCAGACATTGCCTGGAGATGAGGCTCCTTGGTCTTTCTGTTGTGATGGCCAACGTGGGTACCACTTAATGTCAAATAGAAGGTGAGTTATGACGACCTCTCCCCTTGGAGCAGACTTAATAACTCATTTTACAATTGTACCTCTACTGCCATCAGAGGGCAATGCCCAGATGCAAACTGATTACCTATATCTGATCATTTTTGTCCAAGTACTGATTTAGGATCAGTGTGTTTTTCAAAGCACAGTTTCTGGATCAACACTCAGAACAAGTCAAAGTTCATTAGATATTTCCAGTTTCCTGGGGAAAGTGTTGATGGAAGACAGTAGAAGAAGGGAGGTCAGACATATCAGGGCATTAAATATGATTCTGTCAAACTATGCAGGTGGGAGGGAGGCCCAGGTACCAGGGGATGTGGATGTGTGGGTGGATTCAGCACTTGTGTGATAGGGCACTGAGGTTGGAATAGCGGAGATGCAGCAGGTCAGCACTAAGATACATTAGCCATGTTATATGTGTGGGAGGCCAGGGCAAAGAGACCACTGCAGGCTGGGAGTGAGATGAACTTCTGAAGCGATGTGGGGGAAGCTCCACACAGCCTGGCCACCCGTTGCCTGGCTCTCGCTAGTGTATAAGTCACTCACTGAATTCCCCCACACAAATTTAAAAAAGTATGCAAACTGATGATGCAGGGGAGAGAAGATTACAGTGCATGTGATATCCCTGCAAACAGACAGACGCATTTACTGTTGAATAATACATTCCTTGGGAAATTTACAGGATAATTAGTGGTTTATACCACCAGGCTATACTCTGCAGCGAGTAGGATTATAGTACAATGGGGGTAGGGTGAGGGAGGGTCTGTGAATCTACTCCAGTCCACCCATGAAGATAGCAGGATTCCTCCATACCAGGCTCTCTTCCTTAAGGCTCAATCCTGGGATCCTTGCTGACATGAGCAATCAAGAAGTCAATGGGCCTATTCAATGAAAGACTATTCATGGGGCTGGCCTGCCGCTCATTTTGGTGGAATAACGCCCAGCACAGGAAGCAGTCAGGATTTTAACAGTTTGTAAATGGTTCTGTAGAAGCCCTGACAAAGGCTCTGTTGTGTTGCATAGAAAGCCGCCATAAACCAAATTCAGAACATAAGGATAACTCTTGGAAAAGCAGAGCAAAAGGTAATTTTAAAAAGTTCCTGAAAACAGATGATTCTTCTGACCCTCTCTGACTCAGCAACTTCAAAAGGCTGGAATTGTTAACATCCTTATGGAATGACACAAACCCATAAATCTATCACAGAGAGGGTCAGGTCTCTGAACACTATTCTCCAAGAGATCCATTAAAAAAATTCCTCCTGAGCATCAAACGAGATTTCACAAGAGTCGCAGTACCAGGCAGGAAGAACTCTGCCTACCTGGCCCACCACTTTGGCCTCCGGCCACACCACCACGGGCAGCAAACTTTCCAAGTTCTTGCAATTTAATTCAGGTCAAGCCATGTACTTGGCTAGGAGGACTCCAAAGAAAAGGAAGGTGGTAGCAGTAAGTGATGTGACTCAGCTGGAGACCATCTTGGAAATGTTCCTTTCGCATGTCTTCCAGAGAAACAAGCTGTGGTGGGGAGAGGACAGGGCATTTATAACCCTTGACCTCTGCTGAAATGCTGCAACTTTAATCAGACTTCTGCCAATGAAATCAGAGAAGCTAAAAGGCTGCTTATATATTAAAAGCCCTCAACCTTTTTAAGTTTGGTGGAGGCATGAGGCAACATGGAACCACACTGGCTTTGTGCAAAAGTTCTGGAGCATTTGATTTCCTTGGGGGGTTTTTTAATACTAATTTTTCAGCACCCCAAGTATTACAGGCAAGCTCTCCCCCTTCAGTGCCTTGGCCTCCTTGACAATGATTACCCCAGCCTCAGAAAGTATATTTGCCCATTCAGTGCCCCTGCATTGTGTCCTGTCTCTTTTCCTGTCCTGTCCAGCCTGGCTCCTGCTCAGTGCACACATTGAAGAGCTGGGGGAAAGAAACAGGACAGGGCAGGGACTAATACCGAGTCACTGGCCTCTTGTTTTGAATGGGGACAAAGATGTGGGGAATCCATGGATGACAGGGATGGGAGATAGGGATGCCATTCCCTACTGCACAGTTCTGACCTCTTCTTTCCATCCATCTGTGCCTTGATCTGCTCCATCACTTCCCCAGTATGTCCCCCTCACTGCTCCAACCCCCATCTTCCCTTCAACTGCTCAGACACTGCTCCAGAAACACCAACGTTCTCTTAGGCACTGTCATTTCTATAATTGCCCCCACATGCTTCTTCCATCCTTGGCCTTGACCCTCCATGCCTCTGTTAAGCTCTGATCACACTTCATTTCCTTGTTCAGGAATCATGATCATAGTATCCTACCTTTTTAACAATATTTCATCTTTGCAATCAATGCTGATTTCCTTGACAGTATTTCTAAAGTCATCTGAGGGAGCATAAATATTTTTGGGCACTTAGGGAGTCAACCTTTAAGCTAAAATCAAGGCCCAACCCTAACTAGAATAGAGCTGACGCTTTGCTATATTCAAACCGCATATTTATTCATTCCCATTGTGTTATATTTTTGTAGTTCATTTCCCCTTTTAAAGGGGAAATGAAATTGCTGCATAGTAGGGAAACCCAGATATACTTAATGGGACATGTTGTTCAGAGATGAAAAGAAACCCCAACACTTTAACTGTCCTTGAAATACAACCTCACAAAACAGCAGGGTTCAAAGTATATTTCTTCATTTCTATATTTATACACTGCATGTAGAGTAAAATCTGGCTACTCAGCACACAAATAGAAATATTAGAAATATTCCTTCTCTACTTCCTAGTAAGGGTATGAGGTCAAAATTGTGGGCATGTCTTATGCAAAAAACCTTTTCCCTCTGCAAACCATATGCAAGTGCCTACCTGCAGCTGTAGCCCCCCACCCCCCTTCTTCCCTGTACCTTCAAAAACCATCAGATATATACTAATGCTTTCTAGTCAAAATTACCCCAACTCTTCCATATTCTTATCCTTGTCATGCACCCGCAGTTTCAGTAGTTTTTTTTCTAAACTAGAACACATTGATTCCATATTCTCTCCCCCAAACCACTGAGCCTTCCACTACCACTCCTTTCCCCATCTCAGAGGCTACCTGCTGACCCACTGGATTTGAGGGGAGATTCCTTCAGTACACACCCCAAACCTAACTGTTCATTCTTTGTAATTTGTGCATGTGTGACCATACAAGAGATCTTCAGGTTCTCATCTAAGGCTGCTGTTGCTGAAGCAGAGTCTGCATACTTGATCTTTTCAGACACAGCAAGTGGTCATTTCAGACACAGAAAGTTACACTGAACTTTTATTAATTTGCTCTCAAGACTCTTTTCACAAGGAAATGAGCTAGAGACTTGCGCTTGTTTTATATGCAAATCAATATTCTCATTCATTTGACCAAAGCACATTCTGCTTAGACAAGGGCTTATATGAACACCCTGGATATCATCACTCCCTCCAGCTGCCAGTCTCATGACCATCTTACCAGGCTCTTGGCTACCCCTTGATACTCAATCAGCAGCAGTGGCCTGAAATGTTTCTATTAGCTGGTGGGAACTCATCTTCTTTCCATTCAGATAGTGACCTAGGCACAGTGATTCCTCCATGTCATGCTACTGCAATACACTATAACTAGGATGACTGTGAAAATCATCTGGAAACTTCAGTTAGTCTGAGCTACAACAGCCTGTACCAAGCAATATCACACCTTTCCCAACTCTCAGAACCCCGCCACTCCATGTGTTCCTCCAGGTTCTGGCGTTAATCTTTAAAGGTCTTAATCAGCTAAACCAGGCTATTTCTAAGATGACCTCTCTGATCACTGAGACAACCACAATCAACAGAGACTCTGTGGCAGGCAGAGCTCAGAGTGAAACTCTCAGATGTTGGACATTATCAATGGCAGACACTTTACTGTGGGAATTGCTATCATTTGAATTATGGGTGAGCCCTAGTTTTGCTGCCTTTAGGGTGCATTTCTCTTGGAGATAAACCAGAGCAGTTCTACTTAGGAAAATGTGTAAGCAATGGAAGACTGGGGATTTAGTCTTATCTGCTGTATTTGTTGCTTCATTTGCATGTATGGGATCTAGAGACTGCAGTGATTTGTCACATTAAAGTTTCCTAGACTAACAGGCAGAGTTAACATGCATGATCATATTAAACTTAATAATTTTGCAGCTGGCACTGCTCCTTACAGCACTGCAAGCTGCTCTTCTAAATTTCAGAAAGGGATCAAACTACAGTGGAGTGCTTCAAGCTGTATTTCTCCCACTTGATCTCTTCCCTCCATCCTGACTACCTTTCCCCTCCATACACACCCCTACATTCTTAGAGTCTTTGTTTATATTGTAGAAAACATCTGTGAGTGTATACGGCCAAGGTTAAAGATTTTGGCAAACAGCTATTTTTTCATTGCTCAGCGGAAAGGAAAAATATGCCCCTCCACCCCTTCCACTGATGGGGGAGAGAAATTAGAGCTGAAAGCACACAGGCCAAACAGCAGACTGCCTCTGCCCACCAACTCCTTTAAGGGAAAAATGGGATTGTTATTTCAGCAGAATGAACTAGTTTGGAGGGACAGCAAGGGTGTAGCTAGGAGCACTGAAATAAATTTTTTTAAAGACAGTTTAGAAGAATGTCAGGAAAAGCTTCCAGATAGTGAGATGTATTAAGCTGGGCATAATTTCCCAGTGGAAGTCGTATAAACCCCACTGCTTGGGAAATTTAAAAACAAACTGGATGCAATAATAAAAAATATATGAGAGAGAAAAACACTGTGCTAACAGACTGGTGCACCCAATTCTACAATAGGTCTTTTCTGTGATGAATTTGTATGATGCTGCATAGCATAGAGTCCTTTTGGAGGAAGTTGGCTTATTATTAATCTTGCTTTATATATTCCTTTTCCAGAACACTGAACTGCTTCAAAAAAACAGTGCACAGGTGGGACCTGTGGTTTTCCTTCTTTCTCTTTTCTGTGCTAGGTTTCAGTGGAATTTGCAGCACTAAATGACAATGGAGAGTGACACCATCATAACGACTGCTTCTGAGATCAGCTGCAGGAGGAGGAGATGGAACCGTTTAGATCAGTGGTCTCCAACCTTTTTAAGTAGGAGATCACCTTTGGCATTTAAAAGCAACCCAAGATCTACTGTGCACCACCAACCACCCTCTCCCCCCACCACCGCCCAGCAGGTAAGTCTGCGGGGAGGGAAGAAGTGGGGGCAGATCGAGGCAGAGGGAGAAAAAATTATTTGGGGGCGTACCTCCCCAGCAGGTAAGTCCCACCCAGACAGGGCCCCACCCAACTTACCCCTGCTCCTGCCTTTGCGCCACTGTCCCTCACTGCAAGGGCCACGATCTAGCCCCTGCCCCTTCCCTCTCCCACGGACTGACCTGCTGGGCTGGGGCACATGCATGCATGCAGGCACTCAGCCCCCCCACCCCAGCCTCGAATCAACCCCAAGAAGCTCGGAGGATCTACCGGTGGATCAAGATCCATTGATTGGTGATCACTGATTTAGACAGATACTTGGCTGGTGGTGACAGAGCAGGGCCAGGGCCTGGGGCAGAGCCATGATTCACTGCCCGCACATTCTTGCAATGGGTGCCAATTCTGCAGGCAGGGCCATGGGGGGTGTGGATCAAGTATCTGCCCCAGGCCCTGGCCCCATGCTGTCACTGCCCTACGATCCCAGCCCTACCCATCTGTCCCACTTCTGGACACTGCTCTGTGCCCACCTGCGGCCCCATCCTATCAGCCCATCCAAGCATGCCCAGCCCACACAGGTCCTGGGCCAGGCTCCACACAGATCTTGGGATTGCTGGGTGATGAGGACAGTGTAGGGGCCAGGCCCCAGGGCAGAGCCACTTAGAGAGTTTTGGTGAGCTGTTGTGGGGTGGAGCGGGGTGCGGATGAAGTGCTGACTTGGCCCACATCAGCTCACTAAAACTTCTTAAGTGGCCCTTGGGCCCAAATAATTGCCCACCTGGGTAGTAACACTTTACAGAAAATGCCAGCAAGCAAGGTCAGCAATCATGATGTACCACACAGAAAGATTAGAAGGCAAAAGCAAAACTCAGATCTGAATATAGCTTTTCACTCATCTCCTCATCCGCACCCATTACATTCCTCCTCAGAGTGTGATGGCCCACAGAATGGGCAGTGATCATCTGTAACAAAGCTCAGCTGTTATCAGAGGCATATCCACCCCCACAATACAGCCAAATTAAGCTGCTTCAAAACCTAGCTGAATAGAGAAATTGGCCCAACACCTGGGATTTATCTGAGAGCTGTTATCAGAACTAGCATAACAGATCACTGTGGGGCAGCACCAGGCAGGCAGCAGACATGTGGCAATACACATATCCAGCTGCCCATCTGACCCTCCTTCCCTCTGCCCTGACCCACCCATGCAGGTTTTGAATTCATTCCTCATCCTCCAATGCTGTTAACACTATCAAATTATGAAAGGAGATCTCGCCTTGAAGGAAAACAAAAATCTGTTCCCTTCCCAAGCCCGCAGCTGTCCCCACCTCCCCACCATGTGTTCCTGAAATCTAGGACTGTTCCAAACACTGAATGCACTGGAAAGTGTATCCTTGGGCCAGCTGTGATCTGATCATGGAGCACTGGCTGTGGGTGAATCAGAAACCAACCGAGAGGCGGGCAAACAATACGGCCCCTTGTTACAGCCTAGGAGTGATCATCATCCTCAACCCCCACCCCCCCTCAAACAAGCCTGTATGATGCGGGATGCCAGGGAGGGCTTAAGTAATGTGCCCTGGATGATCCTTTCCCGCCAACCCGGCTCTGAACTGCAGCTATTTTGTGCTTTGAATGACAGCCTCCTTGTGCTGTGGGGGCTGCTGTAACCTCTCTGGAAGTAGGTGAGCAACAAGCCAGTCACTGATACTGATTATTTACAAGCTGCTGCAGGACAGACAGGGCAGCAGTGTCTGGAACCAGTGTTACTTCTGCAATCCAAAAGCCTGGAAACTGCCTTCAGTCCCCGAGGAGCTGGTTTTCATCAGGCCAGCAGTGCTCAGCACACCGAGGAGCTGAACAAACCTATCCTGGCAGACATTTAATCTGGCCTCAGCATTCTGCTGAGGTTTTAGCTGTTACACCTTGTGACACTAAGTGATCATTACTGAAATTAATTAAGGGCATTTAGCCACACCCCTCTGTTATTTCATCAAGTTTTACAAGACCAGTAGGGCTGAGCTTCCCAGTTCTTGGAAAGAGGTGTTGCAGGATGGGAAGTGCAGCAGGAGTCAGCCATGCCCAAGACAAGTGAATCAGCAATGTTAGGGCCCAAGAGGTACTGTGCTTGAGTCAAACTGAGGCCCTCATCATGAGAGATTCCTAGACAGTTTAAAAAAGATTAGGAGGGGATTTAATCCGTGGCCAAGTCTCACTATCACTGCTGGTTAATATTTGCACTGCAGTAGCATGCAGCCAGGAACTACAGCCTCACTGCTCTGCATACATGCAGAATGATAAGCCAGTCCCCAGTGCGAGTACTGTCTGCCAAACTAAATTCCACCCTGCTGTTTTGATTAGATGCAAAATTCTTCTTCACTGCCTGCTGTGAACAGCTGCTGTGTTGCACTGCAGCTGTATTTCAGTAGTGGATAATGCAAGCCCAACATATTGTTTGTACCAAATTCCCCTATAAATTTGTAAATCGCTTTGGGATCCTTTGATGAAACATTACATGAAAACAAGGCATTTATTAATGAACAAAATCATGGAACTAAGAGGGTTATTCTGTGCCTTTGGCTAACTCAGGCTACTTTAGAGGTTGCAAGTATACTACATATTCTATATATGGTTCATTTCTTTGCTACAAAAATAACCTTTTGGCTGGTGGAGTCATTCTGATAGTGGCAAAAGGTAATGAGTAGGACATGAAGAAAGACATTTCTCCTAAGAAGAGCTCCACCTCAGTGTTGCAAACCAGGTGGTTTGCATAATTACGATAAGCTTCAAAGAAGCCTTCCCATGGTGGGATACTCATCCAGAATGAATTGACTGTCATAGATGGCATCTACATATGTGCTTCCTCTATGATCCCATGTTTACATTGGGCTGCAGTGCTCCACACTTAGGCCCAGATCCTCCAGTCTGGCTGACCTGGACTAGGAGTGGATGGATCAAATTGCAAGATTGGGTCCTAAATTTTTATAAGTGGATGCTGCAAGAAGACATGAGCTTATGGAAAAACACCTAAGGCAATAAAGCAGAGGTGGGCAATTATTTCAGCTGGGGAGCCACTTAATGAGTTTTGGTAAGCTGTTGAGGGCTGCATGCAAGAAACTCTTAGAAAATTTCATTTTAACAAATGATAGATAAAAAACAAATCACATACTAAAAATCAAACACCTACTATTAACATTTAAAATGTATTTAAAAAATAATTCTTGGCCTGATTTATGTGTTTTTGAGTAGTGTATATACAGGCTACTGCATAACAGCTCAAAACAAAGTCTTACTCTTGTATATTGTGTAGGGAGGGTATGCACGGGGAGGCTGTGTGCATGTATGTGTGAGGGGCTGCCTGTGAGCTAGGTCCTGGGTGGGGAAGAAGGAGCAGGGGGCATATGCAGCAGAGCTCACTTGGGCAGTGGGGTGCAAGTGTGTTCTGTCTGGCCCACGGTTGTTCCCATGGCCCTCCACATGGGGCCAAGCCCCACCCACTCCCCCTGTGCCATGCTCCCACCTGCATCCAGCTCTGGCCAGAGTGCACAGCTTCCCAATGAGGCTTCTCCCAGTGTGGCTGCAGCTGCTTGGGTACTGCTCAGCTCCCTTTGCCTCCAGCAGCTCCTCCTCCTGCCCCCGCTGCATCTCTCCAGGTAAGGAGGTAAGCTGCAGCTGGACAGCTCCTGCCCCAGGGCAGGGGTGTTCCAGCTCCCAGCTGGAGGAGTGGGTGGAAGGCAGCCCGAAGCTAACACATGTGTTGAGGCAAGATCTACCAAGTTGCAGCTTCCCTCCACCTGGAGAGATGCAGCCCGGGCAGGAAGAGAAGCTGCTGGAGGCAGGGGGAGCCAAGCAGTATCCAGGTGGCTGCAGGTGCACTGGAAGCAGCCTTGCCAGGAATCTATGCAAGCTGGATGGGACCAGGTACAGGCAGGAGTGTGGCATGGGCTGCCTCAGATGGAAGCAGGCAGGGTAGCCACAGGGCGGATCCAATCAATTGGGAGGCACTTGGCCATGGACCAGATCCAATCAGTTGGTGGGCCACATCTTGCCCACCCATGAAATAAAGCTATTGTGCACTATTGCAACAATGAAAATAACCGAACCAATTAGAGATAAAAAAAAGTCTACAAAACATAACATAAGACCACCTGATACTTAAATGCCCCCTTTTCTGCAAAGGGAATAACTATTTTTGTTTCTGGTTGTACTGAATTCAATAATTTTCCTTTGAATTGGGGAGGTGGGGGAGGAGAGAGTGAGAGTATTAGGTTGGAATGCTGTAAGGATGTATGCCAAGGTCTTAGCATCTGGAAAAAAAGACCTGAAGACTATATTTAGTGCACAATGACTTGCAATATTTTTTTTAATTTAAAAAGAGAAGAAAAAAGGGAAAGAAAAGCAAAAGGAAACATCAAATGTGAAGTTGGCCTCATAAATAATAAATGTCACCTGCTATATAGAGAATAAAAAGACTGGGAAGGGAATAAATAAAACCAGGGGTTACATGTTATTATAAGGGCTGCTAAAGAGAGAGTTACCGTGCAGAGTTAGCAGACATATTTATAAACATGCTACAGATAATGCATACTTCAGTATAAATACCACCCTCAGAAGAATGCACAAAGCATTTCTAGCACAGAACAGCTACAGCACTGATCTCTGCTGTACATACATTTCCTTTATGTGGTAGTTATGGTCTAAACTTGTTTCTTCAGCCAGACATGGGAAACGTTTTCCATGGAGTAACCTCATCTGCAGGGGTTCTGCCTGGTAATATTGTACTCAGCAGAGAATGCTTACTAAATTCTTTGTAAAGTATGTATATGTTACTATGCAATCCCCTGAGCATAT